ACCATAGTCCATTATATTCATGTATGTAAGTATAAAATGAAACCCCCTGTACTATTAATATGTGCTAAAAGAGAAAGAGAGAGAGAAGAAAAAAACTATTAAAAAAATGGAATGAGGTACTAAGAGTATAATTAGATTCTCCTCATTAGAGAAGTACAGTTCAGAGGCCAAATGATCATTATTAGGCATTCATCATATCACAACAATTTCTATCCACAAGACTCCTTTGGCATGAAAATGTGATTTATTTTTGCAGCTATCAGCATTTGTCCTAGTGCCTGTTCTTAATTGCTACTACATAGTATGTACTCAACAGTGTAGTTATTATGATAAAACAGTAACAGAAATTCTAAATAAATGATTCATAAAATGAGTGCATTAAAAATAGAATAAAAATAACATCATGAGGGACAGAATATGAAGTAAACTTTCCTAATGTGCTACTGTGTGGTTGCCAGAAGAAAATAAAATATGTGAAAGAACTTGTAAACTGTAGAGAGCTATCATTAACATTACGGATTTTTCAGAGAGTTCATGCTTTTAGCTCAGCCCTATGGTAGGCTCATGGGCAATACAATAATATACAAGCCTAGGTTCCTGATTTCAAGTAACTTCAACTCAAGGCAACCAAATAAATGTATATGAAATAAGTGGAGGGAAATGTATTGCTCTGTTGGTGCTAGTACATGAGAGTACTTCTGGTGCCCAGAAGGTCAATGTGGCCCTATTATTTTATTGTGACTGCTGATGTTCTTTTAAAACTTCAGAATTGCCTCAATATGCAATAGTTTTTACCCTTGGGCCCTGTTGGAAGGCACATTTCTGTTTCTCTCATTTGTGAAGTGGGAACGGTAACTCCTGGCTTACTCTCATGATCAAAGGAGGTAATGAACTAGACTATGTCTAGTCATCATTATAGAAGTATTTCATGTCTCTTCTGTTTTGACACATAGCTAATATTTATACTTATTGTATAAATATTATACTTATTGTACTGATAATTTGTACCCAGTTTCATCCAACTTCCCCTTTTCCTCCCTGGAAGGATGATAAATGAGCTTTACATAGCAGCATAAATCTATTGGCTGGGTGCCTATAGAAATGTGGGGATTCAGGGTGAGGCTTAGGGAGTGTAGACTGGCACATTGGTACATTGGCAGTTAACTCTTTCCCTTATCTAATGCTTGTTTCTCTCTCAATTGTTCCTTTTTTGGAAATTGCTTGCTGGCCTAGGTTTATGTTTTCAGTCTTCCTATTTTGTCATCCTACAGGACCATTCTATGGATGGCATTACACCAATCCAGTCTTTTTTTCCATTTTCTTGCTTGTAGTCTCAAGGAAAACCATAGAATGTGTTGGGAATGCAGCATCTTCAACTAAAGGAGGAGGTGTCTAACACATCCCAGTCTGTGTTCCAACCTCCCACTAGAAACAAGATGTCCTTTAACACTTTAGTTCAGTGAATCACACTACCCTGAGGTATAGCTCAGGGCAGGCTGCTTGCTAGAGTCTTTCATCTGTGGTGTAGGTGGGGGCGTCAAGACTCTATCTGCTCCAGGCAGCTTTCTGAGCCTTGGGGGATTGATTAATAATAAATTCAAGGCTCCCGTTTGTTCTTGCTGGCTATGTGTAAATAATAAATCTGATTTATGTAACTTGTGCATGTGTGGGCTATTCTGTCTCACCAGACTCAGACAAGTTGGTAACCAGTACAGAGTGAACTTAATTTCACACTTCCTGCTATGGACTGAATTGTCTCCCCAAAATTCACATGCTTGATGCCCTAACTTCCAGCAAGACTATGGTTGGAGATATGGCTTTTTAGAAGGCATTTAAAAAACTGCCCCTTCCCCTCTAAAACATTGCGAGTAATAGACCATGTGAAGAACACAGCAAGAAGACTGTGCTTGCCTAACAAACTTTGACCTTGAATTTCCAACTCTAAGACTGTGAGGAAAGAAATGTCTGTTTAAGCACTCGGTCTCTGGTATTTGTTATGGTAGCCTGAGCTAACTAAGACATCACACGTTAAGTACATGCAGACCCTCGAAAAAAAGCCATGGGAGAGATGGCTATAAAAGAAGAGGAATGGAAACTCAGTCCTGATTTCAGTTTCCTAAATACGGTAACAAATGGTGGGTGGTATGTGAATGAATGGTGCCTGTATCCCCAGAAAAGGACTGCTGAAATTTAGTGCTGGGTTGGTGGAATCAACAACTGTTTAATAGCAGGGGGTTATTTGTGTTTTAAACTAAAGCCACATTTCCGAACAAATTGCTGAATCCCTCTGTGGTGAGGCTGGCTACATTGAACCATGAGAAGCTGAGCTGCTGAAGCAAAGAACAATCTGTTTCTTTTTTTAGTGGTCAAGTTCTGTGTAGGCCTTCTGTAGCAGATGGGATCATTTCTGCATCTTTTTCTGGTATGTTTTTCCCTGTTTCTCTAGAACCAGAAGAATAATTAAAAATTGAAGTCAATTAAAAAATTTAAATATCTTCATTTTCTTTGTTCTTAAAGTATTGCTATCATTGCTTCTGGTTCTGTGTCCCATTTATTTCCAGGCATCCAGAGGAACAGGGGCTTCTTCAGCGATCTTGCTTTATAGCAATACATGAGGACAGAATGAAAAACCACAGGCTTGGGGGCTGCTTCCTGCATGGGCCAAATTGCCTGCCACCCTTGATTCACCAAGTTGGCCTAGGAAACATTTGGTTCCAGATGCTCTGCATGACAGGACTCTTGTTCTTTTCTCATGGCCATGTGACCTGAGCTATGGATGCCTCTAGGATATATATAGTCAGAGCTACTCTCTATAGTTTTTGTTTTCAAGTAAATGTGCAAAAGGTTAGGCATAACACGACAGTGGGTAGTGTAGGCTAGAAAGGATTCAGTGACATCTACTGGCCAACCTTGTGTATCTTAAGCACTACATTGGAGTCATTTCAGCTGCTATCAAAAATACAGATTCCTTGGCCTCTAACCCAGAGAATATGATTGAGTGAAACTGTTTATGAAATCTGGGCATCTACATATTTAAGAAAACTCCGCACCATTATTCTGATGCAAATCCAGCATTGAACACTCTTGCTTGTTTTGAGCAACTCCATAATTGAGAGGTTGGCCCTAACTGCAAAAAAGCCCACTTTTAGCTTTCCTTAGCTAGTGTCAACTCCAGACCTATAGGCTGCCATGTTTTGAGAAAAGGTAGCTGTTTCTGGATGATGTGTGATATGTGAGGCAAAATAAAATGCTCTGTTGTGCTTGCTTTCAATGAAGTACTGTGAGGTAGACATTGAACTAAAAGAAATGGAATATGCCATTGCTTTATTGATTTTTAAGTATCAGCTATTAAATATTTAATAAGTCCTCACAGGGGGCAGGAAGGAGATTTTCATTCTACTGTTTTGGTTATAAAAATTGGTCCCACTGGCAGATGTATATACTAGCCACAGAACTTCATCCTAATTTTTCTATTTATGTTTCTTTGTTCATACTTCATTCATCCATGTGTCCATGCTTGCACACATCCTCCATCCATCCATTTACCATGTTCCAGACACTGCTGGTTATGGAGTTTAAGAGTAAAGAAGTCAGAACTCTGCTTTTAAGAATGCTAACAATTAAAAAGAAGAAGCAGCAGCAGACTGGCATAAGTGTTACTAAAAAAATGTTTCATTTAGGGTGGACCAGATACATGGGTAAAAGACTCAAAGTCTCAAGGAAATATATTTGTTATCTTAAGTCAACAGTTATGCATCACTTACTAAATGTCATGTTCTGCTTGAAGTGTCATACATCTATTAACTCATTTCATCCTTAACGTAACTCTAAGAAACTATTATTATCTTCATAGATGAAAAAATTGAAAAATAGAGAGATTAAGTAACTCATTTAACAGGCAGATTTAACATTCAAACTCCTTTTCTACTTTGCTTCATTCCTTCTCCTTTGATATCTGAATTTCTTACCATTAAAGAGTCATTGTCTTTATGCACTATAACAACCAACAATGGTAGCATTTATGACTTAATGTGCACCAGGTACTGTACTATGCACCTAACTTATATTTCGTATCTCATTTAATCTTTATTAAAATGATCTCCATTTTGGAAAGAGGAAGTTAAGAATCTGAGAGATTAATTCACTTGCTCTAGGTGATACAGTAAGTGGCAAAGCTTTGATTTGAACAAGTTCCATCTGAAGACCCATCTTCATTCTGCAATACTTTGTGGAAGGTAATATGAAACCAAGAGGGCACTGATTAAGAGCATAACTCTGGAGCCAAATGCCTGGGTTTGAATCTTCTCTGCCACTTATGAGCTATGTGATAGTAGTTCAGTGCTGTACCTGTTAAATGGGTATGGTAGCAGTAGCTACCTGATAGAACTGCTGTGAGAAGTAAATGAGTTACTATGAGAAAACAGAAACGTGCTTGTCACATGGTAAGCATTATATAACATTGACTCTTACTGGTATTATTCTTTCATATGACAAAAAGGGGTTATCACACATCTCAGTATGAATGTCTGTCTGTCAGATATTAGCTAGCTTGTTACCTAGCAAAGCTGCAACAAAAGCTGAGTACTGGTGGTTCATGCCTATAATCCTAGCTACTCAGGAGGGAGAGTTCAGAAGGATTGCGAGACCCTATCTCGGAAAAAAACCCATCACAAAATAGGGTCAGTGGAGTGGCTCAAAGTGTAGGTCCTGAGTTCAAAACCCAGTACCACAAAAATAAATAAATAAATAAAAATAAACAAATAAATTTTATTTTTTTTGAACTAACAAGCACTCTTTGTTTTCATAACACAAACAAAAGTTCATTGAAAAAACAGTAATCATATCTTCAGTCAACTTTTTCATAGTCCAAAGAATAAGGCCTCTGAATTAAAATTGACATTTTGTCTTAAATATTCCAAACCTCATCCGTGTCAGCTTTGGAATTTTAATCTTGAAACAATACTATGGTATTTCTTCTAATCTGGTCAGTTGCCAATTTCTTAATTTTTGTTACCCAGCCATTTTTCTTGGTCTTGCTCTCTGGTTCCATACATTCCAGACTGTTCAATAGATTTGTAATAAACTTCCAAGATGAAGGGAAATTTCTTGCTCATTATTTGCCTGAAATCTTGGCTTGTGTTCATCTTATTAAACAAAAAATATGCTCCAAAAATGCCCATAAATTCAGCTACTAAAACTCCTTTAAAGATCTTCTTTGCCAGTGGTTCCATGGTACGGGCCATCCTGAGGCCTGCTCACCCATACCATAAATCTTTATTTTTAACACAGTCTCTTGTGCAGGGGTCCATAGACCCAAAGACCAGAATTGGAAAAAAATCTTGTGAGACACTTAGTGGTCTAACTCCTGTTATAAGATGAAAATGCCAGGCCTCAAAGGTCAGAGCAAGGACAAAATCCAGTTTTGTATCTCCTAAGCCATTACAATATATTAGTAGCATTATTAGTTTATACATTAAAGATATCTAATAAATATTTATTAAATTGAATTTACCCAGGTTTTAAGAGACTATGAACATGACTTAATGCTACCATCAATTTTCTAGTCCTGTTGTCAGCCCAGGTAAATAGTTCGTGAGCCCCTATCTTGAAAACACCCATCACAAAAAAGGACAGGTGAAATTGCTCAAGGTGTAGGCCCTGAGTTCAAACCCAAGTACAACAACAACAAAAAGCTCTGAAAAGAGATACTATAGAATTAAGGAGGTACGTGTTGTGAAGAAGAACATTTCAGGCAAAGGCATGAAAGTCAGGTGTAGCATGATGTGTTTAGAGTTCGGAATGCTTTATGCTCAAGATGACTGGGACATAATCCATTGGAAACAGAGTGCCCAAAGCTGAAGCAGGGCAGGTAGGCAGAAATTATGCCAGAATGTCTTCTCTGTCACATACAGAGATTTCAACTTGACCCTCTGGAGAATTATTATAGAAGGTTTTAAGCAGAAATGTAGCTAGATTTGTGTTTTAAAAAGTCATTCTGGGGGCCACCTAGATGATGGATTGAAAGAGATCAGATTTGAAGTAGGTTGTTATAGTAGCTGTTTGTTTTTTTTCTTATTCAGTGAGTAACAATAATTGCCTGAACTAGGGCAAGTATTAGCAATGGGAATGGAGAAGAGTGGACAGATTTCAGAAATATTTAAGAAGCAGCATTCACAGAACATAGTGGGTGATACATTGTGGTAGAGAAAGGTAGAGAGAGAAATCTAATGTGATTCCCTGGTGTCAGGCTTGGATGTGGGTGGTGGTGCGGTGCACTAAGACTAAACAGAAGAGGGTGGTTAGAGATGAATTTACTTTAGGACATGCTGTGTCCCCATGGGACAAGCAAACAGATGTCAAGTAGGCAGAAAAATATATGAGTCTGAAGTTCAGAGAAAGATCTAGGTTATCACAAAGAAGAAAGAAATTTTGTCATTCGCAGGTAAATGGATGGAACAGGAGAACATCATCTTAAGTGAAGTCAGGCTCAGAAGGCCAAAAGTCTCATGTTCTCCTTCATATGCAGATTATAGACCTAAAACAAATGCAGCAATATTATGGGACACTGGTGACACTATGGGGAGACCACACATGGGAGGGATAGGACAAGGGAAGGAAACTAAAAACTTGAATGTGGTTGATGTGCTGACTGTACGGGAATGAATAGAGAAATCTGACTGGGGGCACCATGGGAAGGGGACTAGGGGAGAGTGAAGAAGACTGGAAGAGGAGAATCAATTGGAGTTGTAACACATATATGCATGGAAACAACACAAGGAATCTGTGCAGCTATCTTTATCTCAAACTGGCAAAAACATCATGTTCATCTTTTTCATGTTTTATGTTTTTTTTCTTCTTCAAAATCAGAGACCAGGAGGGAGGAACAGATTCTGCCTATGGTTGGGGGTGGAACTGGTGGAAGAGGGTAGGTGGTAGGTAAAGGGATAGGAAGATTAATATGGTGCAAATAATGTATACACATGTATGTAAATGCAAAAATGATACCTGATGAACTGTTTCAGGAACCGAGGGGGGGGAATGAAAGAAAACAAGTGGAAGGGGGGTGAATTCAGTATGATATATTTGATAAATTAAAGAACCTGTGTAAATGCTACAATGTACCCCCCACCCAATCACAACAACAACAAAGAAAGATCTAGGCCAGAGATAAATATTTTGTATTCATTGACTTCTGTGTTATATTTAAGGCCACAGACTGTTTGAAATAGGAGGAGTGTGTAGAATACAAAGAGAAAGGGGAAAGGAAAGTACCTCAGGTCACAGCAGCTTTTAATTAATGAATATAAGAAGAGAGGTTAGTAATGGATCTTGGGATGGAACAGCTGAGAGGAAAGAAGAGAGCCAAGAGAGCAGGTTTCTGTTAGATATCAGAATGACAATTTGCTAGTATTATTTGTCTATAGGATCTGGGGATGCTGAAATCTTGCCCTCCCAGTTGGTCCTTCCCCTCATGAGATTCCCTATAGGAATGATTTGAAGAAAGCAGTAGAGAGAGGACAAAGTATCACTTTAGTAGAGAGGGGAAAACTCAGTGTGGCTTTCTAGCAAACTTGGAGCACATGGCTTAGGCCAGATGTCAATGTAAGGTTTGTAACTTTCTAAAATCTGTCACTCTTAGGTGGAGGAAGGTGGAAGAACAACATAACCAAGAACAAATTCTTTGATCCCTTTACGGACTATACCTAAATGCCAATAGGAAACAGAGAAACCCAGTTTCATGGAAGAGAGAAAATATCAGAGAGCAGATGGGGTCTGGAGAAATAAATGGTAAAACAAGCTAGTTGGACAGTTAGAAAGGGAAAGGGAGGAGAAAAATCCCAAAAGTGTGGGAGTTTCAAGAAGAGACTGGCCATTAGTGTCAAAAGCCACAAGAGAAGTCATGTAAGACAAGGCAGCAAAGGAAG